GAAGTTATGGATGGTTGTTAGCCACCATGTAGGTGCTGGGATTCAAACCCCAGTCCTCTGCAAGAGCAGCCAGTGCTCTTAACCACTGACCATCTCTCCTTTCTCCTTCTTCTTCTTTATAAGACAGGGTCTCCCTTTAGTAGCTCTGGCTATCCTAGAACTTACTGTGTAGACCAGGCTGGCCTCATTTCATAGAGCTCCATCAGCCTCTGCCTCTCAAGTGCTGGATTTAAAGGCATGTGCCTGCCACTCCTGGCTCTTAAACATAACAACTTTTAAGATGCTCCATTAAGAAAAAAATTGCTATTAATTTAAGTCTATTAGAGTTCTTTTATAAAATCAACAAATTACTTTATAATTAAGGAAGGAGCTACTTTAGACATGATTAGAATTAATTTAAAACTCATGTCATACTAGGTAAATAAGTTGGTTAAGGTGTGAACTGAGTCATGTGTGGCATCCCTTTTTATCTTTTTGAGACAAGGTCTCCCTGTAACCCCAGCTGGCCTGGAACTTGCTATGTAGGCCAGGCTGGCCTTGAACTCACAAAGATCCGCCAGCCTCTGCCTCCCAAGTGCTGGGACTAAAGGCATGTGCCACCACGCCTGGCTTGACTTCCTCTTTTTAAAAAAAAAAAAAAAAAATTATTTTAATTTTATTTTGTATATGTGTTATGCCTGTACATGTGTAGGTTCACCATGTGCATGCAGTGCCCACAGAGGCCAGAGGAAGGTGTCAGGTCCCCTGGAACTGGAGTTATGGATGGTTATCGGCTGCTGTGTGGGTGCTGGGAACCTAATCTGGGTCCTTTGCAAGAGCAGCCAGTGCTCTTAACCACTGAGCCTTCTCTCCAGCCCTGGCTTCCTTCTGACTCTGTTTTACTTCATCCTATGTCTGTGCCTTTCTGTCTGCTGTCACCTTCTGTGCCACCAGAAGTGTTGGCAGTCAGGTGTGATACAACAGGCCTGTGATCCCAACACTGGGGAAGCTGATACAGAAGGATGAGTTCCAGGCTGGCCTGAGTTACATAGAAAGATCTCTCTCTCTCTCTCTCTCTCTCTTTTTCTCTCTCGCTCACTCGCTCTCCCCCCCCCCATCTCATTTTTAATTTTGGAAGGGGCTGTCTTGATGCAGTTCCTGCTAAGCCTCCTGGAGCAGGCCTGCCTGGGCACTTGCTCTGTCCTCACCTCCTACTAGGGTCTATGAATTGTAGACACTTGAAAAAGCAATGCAAATGAAGGCTAAAAACCTGCCATTTCCCTTAGAATCAAGAATAGAAATTTCAAAGCAATACAAAGCTGGTGAGCATCCTACAAGGTCACTAAGGCACCAAAAAGAATTGTCACAAAGTTTCTGCTGATTTGATCATCTACCACTTAACTTCCTAACACAATTCAATTCAAGAAAAAGACATGAATAAATTCAAACAAATGGGAAAGTGCAGTATCCAGGCATACAGGATATCAGTATTGTGGTGGAACTATCTCAGAAGCAAGAATTCAATACTTAATTTGAAAACATTACAGGGTGTCCAGAATGGTGGGACAGCCAGCATTCCTAACACATGGGAGGTGCTGGGTTAAAGGCATACGTGACCACACTCAGCTTAATTGTGTTTTAAGAAGACCACTACAGCTGCTATGGGTCTTGCGAGGAAAGGGAGAGGCTAGTTGGAAGACCAGATGATAATCTAGGTAAGAGATGGTGTTGGCATGAATCTTGTGGCTCAAGCACTGAACTCCTCAATACTGAAGCACTTCGGTATGTGTCACATCAGAGGACAATCCTTACTAAAGTTCACCTTCCAGTACCCACATTGGGTGGCTCAGTTACAGAAGTAAATGTAGAAATAAAAGACACCTTTTAGTTTTCAAGTCTGTGTACTTGTTTTAAAGACAGAGCATTTAAAATTCGCGATGGAAAGGTCTGGCAGTGGTAGAGCACTTGCCTAGTATGCATGAGCGATAGGAGTCCCAGCACTACAAAAATGCAAAGACAACAACCCCCCCCCTTTTTTTTATAAAGATTTATTTTTATTGTTTTAATCATGTGTAGGTGTGTGCCTATGTATGGGTCTGTCCCATGTGTGTGCAGTGCCTGTGGAGGCCAGAAGGGCGTCAGATCTCCTGGAACTGGAGTTACAGTTGGTTGTGAATTACTTGACCTGGGTATTAGGAATCCAACTCAAGTACTCTGCAAGAGCAGTACATGCTCTTAACTGCTGAACTGTCTCTCTAGTCCCCCCAAATCTTTCTTGTCTAAATATTAGAGATAAAAGCAAAGCATGATGGTGCATACTTGTGGTTCAGCAGTTAAGAGCACTGGCTGCTCTTTCAGAGGACTGGGGTTCGATTCTTAGCACCCACATGGTGGCTGGCTAGCAATAGTCCTTAACTCTAGCTACAGGAGATCGGATACCCTCTTCTGACCTCCATAGCATTGCATAACATGGATGCACTTATATACATGTAGGCAACACACTCATACATATAAAATAAAAATAAATAAAATTTAAAAGTTAAAAAAAATCTGAGACAGAGAATATAAGCAGAAACAGGGGTGTGAGCTGGGAGCACTGAGAATTTCATTCCCAGTGTGTGAAGTCTGAGCTGTGTGTGAGATACCATGAGTGTCAGATTCCCAGAAAATACTCTGGATAGGGTATATGAGAGAATGAATATCTTGGATGTATATGTTGATTTGGGAGTTGTGGATAGGCCTCAGTTGGTAGAATGTCTAGCATGCGTGAAGCCCTGGGATTGAGCCTCAGTACTGCAAAAATCAAGTATTGGTGGCACAAGCCTGTAGTCCCAGTTCTCAAGAGATAGAAGCAGGAGGATCAGAAATTCAGTATCATCCTTAGCTATATACCTAGTTTGAGACCAGCTGGGATATATAAGGTACTACCTGGGGGAAAAAGAAAAAAGATTTAGGAGTTGTTAGCATAGAGCTGGTTGGAAATGGATGTGTTCACCAGAGAGAAAGTAAGAAGGCCCAGGAGTTAGACTAAGCCTTGAGGAGCAGTAAAATTTAAAAGTTAGGTAGAAGGGTGACTAGAGAGATGGCTTAGCAGTTAAGAGTACTTACTGCTCTTCTAGAGGACCTGACTTCAGTTCCCAAGTCCAAGAGAGGGCATCTCACAACCAACTGTAACTCCAGCTCCAGGTAATTAGATGCCCGCTTCTTACACCAGCATTCACATGTGTACATATTTCCTACTCTCATATACACACAATTAAGAAATAAAGATAAATTCTAAAAAAACAAAGGTAGGTAGAGGAGGAGGAGACAGCTAGGGGAATGAACAGAAGAAGCAGCCAATGAGGAAAAGGGGGAAGAAAAGCCCCAGGAGAACAAGGCAGGGGTTGGGGAGGGTTGGGACAGAGGCATTTGACATAGTCCCATCCATGATCCTAGTGTGAACTCTCTGGTGACAGCTACTGTGGTTACAGCTGTATAAAAACTCATGTTTAAATGTAGACATTAAAAAAAAGGAAACTTTAAATAGATGAAGATACTAGGAATATGATTCCTATGGATTTGTTTTAGTAACAAAAACAATTTTCAAAAAGGAAGAAGAAAACAGGCAATGTGTTTTGACAGACAGATGTCCAGACAAGTGATCTGCCAGATGGCTGTTATGAGGGCATTTCACAGTATGATTTTTTGTTGTTGTTGTTGTTAATGGAGAGGAAAAGCCCGAATGGTTTCATGCAAGTAGGAGAACTAATTTAAGCATGCAAAGTGCACCTGGTGGTGTCCCTCAGTTCCTGATGATGTCCTTGGTCTTATAGGTATGGTATGCCGCGTCCTATGCCGAGTTCGTGAACCAGAAAATTCACGACATATCTGAAGAAGAAAGGAAAGGTAGCTGAACTTTTACATGTATTTTTTGATGTGAATATAATGCCATTATAAAATATCCAATTTTTCCATCCCAGTGTACTTCAGAAGATAGTCTAGCAGGTTCGCAGAGTGACACATCTCCATCTGATTCTAGGATCAAATTGCAATGATGTGTTTGTGTGTCTTTCATGGATACTAGAAAATAGTATTTAATATAATGAAAACTTCCCAATATCAAATTAGAATCTTAGCGTCAAAGGAAGATTCTTATCTGGAATTAATCATATCTGAGGACACAGCAAGGCAAACATTGACTTTGTTTTTAATGTAAATGAGATTGAAGTGTATTCTGCCTACAGAAAGGTATACAAATAATGAAGTATATCCAGCTTGATGAATTTTCAGTGAACACAACTGTGTAAATCCCTGTGAGTATTCCCCTGATTTTTAGTATCACATACAAATTGCTTATTAATGAATTGTACACAGATACATTAATATGTTACATACACTTTCACTTTTTTTGTGTCTGGGCATCTTTTGCTGAACTTTTTTTTTTTTCTTTCTTTTTTCTGGAGCTGGGAACTGAACAAACCAGGACCTTAAGCTTGCTAGGCAAGCATTTTACCACTCTTAAATCCTCATATTTTTTTAGATTTATCCACCTTGTTATATAGAATTACAATGTGAATATTATCAGTACTGTTTGGCATTCTGCTGTATAGCCATAGAATAATTAATTAGGACGATAACTACGCAGTCGGCTCACATTTCGTAGGTTAAAGGCGTATCTTTCACCAGACCTCAAGTTCTGTGGTTCCCATGCTACTCACTCTTCTCTCCAGCTAGCCATAATCTAGGGGACTCCCAGCATTTCTACAGGCTCAATAATTTACTAGAATGACTCATAGAACTCAGAAAAGTACTAAACTTAATGATTACAGGTTTGTTATAAAGAATGTATACCAGGACTAGCCAAATGAAGAGACATACAGGGTAAGGTCTGGGAGTGTCCCAGAATGAAGCATCTGTATTCTCAGGATATGACTGTCCATCCTGGGACACTAGTGTGTTGTTCCAAACCACAGAAGCTCACTTTTGTTGTTCAGGGCTTTTATTGAGGCTTCATTACATAGATATGATTAATGGAATTGTTGGCCATGTGAATGAACTCAGTCTCTAGCTCCCTTTTCCTCCCAGCATTACCTGGCATCAGGAGGCTCAGAGCACTAACCTTTTTGGTTTTCTGGCCAGACCAGCTCCTGAGTCATCTCTGAATAAAGTCAAGTAGGATGGGGGACTCTCTGTGAATAACAAAGAGCCTCTTCTCACTCAGGAAATCCCAGTAATTTAGAGATTATCTCTGGGGACCGCACATAGAGGCCAGCCAGATTTTTTTGTTGTTGTATGACTGAATTGTGGGCAGTTTTTAGCGATCTTGAAAGGCACAGCAGTGCTCATTCTTATGTATGTCTTTTAAGCAGCATCTATGTACACTCGGGTTGGGTGTACAACTAGGAGAGAACTTGCTGGGTCATTGGGTATGCATATATTCAGTCTGAGGTGATACTGCTGAACATTTTGCTAAAGAACTTTATTGGACATTGACTTTTCATTGTGATGAAATATACCCTTGATTATGAAACTTGGATCTTAAAGACAGTTATCTAAGCACAGATCTCCTTTACAGCACTTTGTGTGTATTGAAGGGTGAGAGAGGGTGTGGATCCTTTGATGTTTTGCATGAATATATTAGAAAATAAGATCCTAAAAACCACTTCTCTGCCAAATTTTAGCTTTTAATTAAAAAAAATATTTTATTATTTTTATGTGTATGAGTGTGTTGCCTGTATGTAGGTAAGTGCACCTGTGTTGTACAATGCCTGTGGAGGACAGAAGAGGCTGTCGAATCCCCTGGGACTGGAGTTATGGATAGTTGTTACTGCCATGTGGGTGCTGGGATTCGAATCTGGGTCTTCTGCGAGAACAGTCAGTATTCTTAACCACTGAGCCATCTCTCCAGTCCCCTAGCCTTTGCTTTTGTGTGTGTGTGTGTGTGTGTGTGTGTGTGTGTGTGTACACGTTTAATTTTATTGTAACAGAGCAACTTTTAATGTTTGCATCATCTTCTTTCCTTTCCAGTGAAAACAAAAAATTTAAAATTTAAAAGTTACAATAGAGACTGTCAATTCCACTAGCCTTTGATTTTATAACAAAAAAGTAATGCAAATAACAGCTGTTTTCCACAGTGAGATAAGGATGATGGAGAGGCCAGGAGCTGTGTCTTTCTGGTGTCTGTTGATCATCAGCCACAAATTATGATTTCTCTCCTGTGACTGTAGTTCTTCGTGAACAAGAGAAGAATTGGCCCTGCTATGAATGTAATCGCCGGTTTATAAGCTCAGAGCAGTTGCAGCAACACCTCAATTCTCATGATGAGAAACTGGATGTGTTTAGCAGGTAGGTATATAAGGCAAGGGATTGCAAACTTGGTTCTTGATGGGTATGGACTCATTTGTGGATGTCTATAAATTAATGAGTGTGTGTGCGTGTGTGCATGTGTGTGTGTGTGTGTCGTGTTTGTGTGTGTGTGTGTGTGTGTGTGTGTGTGTGTGTATGCATACAAGTGACCAGGTAGGCTGCTAAGTACCAAAGAAAATGTCTTGTCTGTCCTTTTCCTTCCCCTTCCTCTTTATTTGCTGTTTTTTGTTTTTTTTTTTTTTTCCAGCATAACCAATCCTCAGCATTGGGAGATTATTTCACTTTAATTAAATCTCTTCTAAGTAGATTCTGAAACAGTTCTTGAGACAACATGTACATTTGAAATAATGTGCATCTCTGATTTTACACTTTCCTCGGCACTATGATTCCTTCATCAGATTAAATTGTATGCTTAGTTCCACTATATTTGAAAAAGGGAGGAAAGGGAAAGTCTTGTAGGATGAAGTAGGCAGGAGCCAGATTAAGCAGTTCTTATGGGCAGTGGTACAGAATTTGAATTGTGATAAAGTGTGATGGACGGTCTTTAGGGGGTTCTGATTAAATAGTATTTTGAGGTATAATTGTATTTTCAGAAGACCACTAGGGTTAAAAAATGAAAAAAAAATCAGGTTAGTTTATACTGGAGTAAGAGGAAGACTAGCAGACTCGTTAGAAATTATTTCAAGAGGTCAAGTGAAGAATGGGGATTATTTGGAATAGGGAGGTACTAATAGGAAAGATCCACTTTTATAGAATTTGGAAAGATAGGATATGGTGTAAAACCACATTTGAGAAAATGGGAAAGAAAATGTTCTCAGGAAGAACCATGCAGTTGCCTGCAATATTAAGTGACCACCTGAGGTTCATGGTCACAAGATACAAAACAAGGCAGCAGCAAGGCAGCATGTTGTTCCCCAGCTTTGTCCAGCTCTGAGAACACTAGTGCAGAGGGGCAGAGATTGAATGACACAGGTTGTGGTTTCACCAAGCACAGCAACGCAGGGAGAATAAAGAAACAGTGGTAGGGGTGGGAACCAACAGCAGATAGTGTGATTATAACTGACTTTGCAGTGCATGCTGTGGAAGACTCAGGGTTTTTGGGGGGCTGAGTCTGGGTACTAGAGGGAGTGAGCTGGAGAGCTAGAAGAGTGGGCAATGCCTGGCATTCGGGTAAGAGGGTTTTATGTTAGGGATGACCGCAGAGGTAGATGTCTTGGGAGAGGACAACACAATGAGATTGAAGTATCTAAAACTGTCCCTAAAACTGTTCATGGCTCCATTGTAGCATTTGGTTATGAGCCTGACTGAGCCTTTAATGGCTGCACCAGCTCTCCAGCCCATTGTAACATTTTTAAATACCCTGTGACTTTCAGTTTGCATTTCTGCCATCTCTACTATATCTCTGGCAGTAAGAACTGTCACCCATAGTGTGAGATCTTCAGTGCTTAGCACAGTGTATGACACAATACATAAAATATTTGTTAGCTACCTGTTAGTTTGACTACATATAATACTGAGTACTATGAGGCTTTTAGGTGTAATAATGGCATTGTGTTTTATACTCATGTGCACATCTGTAGAGTTATTGCAGTTGAGAGAGGCATACTGAGATATTGATAGGCAAAAGGTGCCTTAATGGGTATATGTGCAGGAGGTAGTGGGATATACAGGAATAAAATTGGCTCAAAGCTGAGAAGCCATAAAATTGGGTCTGGATACTTTGGGTCATTATTCTTTTCTCTGCATTTGTCTATATTTAAATTTTTCCATAATAAAGAATCTTTTAAAAGTTCCTGAAAGCCAGATGTGATGTTGGATGTCTGTAGTCATAGGTAGGACTGCTACCTCTGGAGACAGAGGTAGGAGGAGCCCTTCAGCTCAGGAGTTTGGGGCCAATCTGGGCAACATGGTGAGAGTCCAATTTCAGAAAAAAGAATTCCAGGAAAATATGTATTTGTTAAATAACTGTGAAAGAATAAAACATGATCTGATTAATATTATATACATCCCCCACACATTGTAGTAGTGCTTTCATTGCCATAACAAAATAAATGAGAAAATAATTTGAGGGAGAAAGGTTTATTTTGTTCATAATTTCAGTCTGTTGTGGTAGAGAGGGCATGGTAGAGCGCAGCAGCTCAGCTCATGGTGACCTGAAAGCAGAGAGAGTGCCTGTGCTAGTGGGCTTCTTCCATTTTATTATAGCTGGGGCTCCAGCCTGTAGGATGATGCCTCTACATTTAGAACAGATCTCCCCTCCCTGCTTAGCTAATAATCCTCTCTGGAAATATCCTATCTGTAAATATGTGTGTATGAAGATACACACAGAGAAGCTAGGTGCTTCTCAATCCAGGTGACAGTCAAGCTTAACCATCACACACTTCTAAAATAACTTTGTATCATGCTCTTTCTGGGTCTCCCCAAGCTCTGCCTCAGCCAGGGCCCCACACATGTTGGGCAAGTACTCTACCAGCAAACTATAACCCAACCCCTTGGAGTATCTTTTATTTATTTATTATTTATTTATTTGTTTGTTTGCTTATTTTAAAAAATATTTTATTATTTTTATTTCATGTGTATGTGTGTATTGCCTGCATATAGGTAAGTGCACCCATGTCGTGCAGTGCCCATGGAGGACAGAAGAGGCTGTCGGATCCCCTGGAACTGGAGTTACAGATAGTTATTAGCTGCTATGTGGGTGCTAGGATTCGAACCCAGGTCTTCTGTAAGAACAGTGTTCTTAACTGCTGAGCCACCTCTCCAGCCTCTATTTATTTTTTGAAACAAGATTTCATGTAGTCCAGGCTAGCCTTTGGGATAACTTTAAACTTCTGGTCTTCCTGCCTCTACTTCCTGACTGTTGGAATTATAGGCAAGCACAAGCACACCTAGTTTATGCAGTTTTAGGGATTGAACCCTGGGCCTTGTGGATGCTAGACAAGTACTCTACCAACTGAGCTACAACCCCAGCCCAGGAGTAAGTCCCTTTTAATAAGGACTTTTTTTTTTTGTATTTTAATAATCAATTAAAGGAGATGTACTTTAATAAGTGTTTACTAGACCTGTTATGGAAAAGTTGAATTAGAAATTTATTCTGACTCTCCAGAAAGTTATGGCAGAAATAAGAAAGCTATTTGAATTTAGCCACATTTTGGGGAAGGAATATGAGTCAAAGCAAGGGAGAAAGGATGGCCTCCAATCTAAGATGACATCTGGGGATACTTCAGAGATGTTCTGTCCTGTTCACTTTTTTAAAAAAAATTATTTATTTTTATCTTATGTATATGAGTATGTTGTCTGCATGTGTATAAGTGCACCTGTGTCATGCAGTGCCCATGGAGGTCAGAAGAAGGTGTCGGATTTCCTGGAACTGGAGTTAGATTGGTTGTTAGCCACCATGTGGGTGCTGTGAATCAAACCTGGGTGCTCTGCAAGAGCAGTCAGTGCTCTTAACCACTGAGCCAACTCTCTATGCCCCCTGTTCATTTTTCTCACCTCCTTTCAAAAGCAAAATGTTGTTACTACTTCATATTTTTATGGTATTTTCTTTTTCTCCCCAGAATAATTTTAAGACATCTTTTTGTCCAGTAGAGGTAGAGAGGGAAAGATGAGAAATTATGCTTGTGTATTAGAAAAACAATGGTTTCCTTGAGAGAAAAGAACCAGAGAAAGTAATAAAGTGAGAGGAACTCAAAGTTCGGTGTTAGGGGAATAAAATAATGGGGTGTGATGTAATTATGACACAATCTCTTATCCCTAGAACAAGAGGCAGAGGAAGGGGACGAGGCAAGAGGCGATTTGGCCCAGGTCGACGGCCCGGGCGTCCTCCAAAATTTATCCGATTGGAAATAACCAGCGAAAATGGGGAAAAGAGTGACGATGGGACACAGGTACTATGGGCTGGAAGGAGCTCCTCCTTTGGTGCTTCTTTCTGGAATGTACTCAACCCTGACTAGATTTAAGTACAAATTACCTTTCAGATGCTTATAATTCTGTCTAACCAGAGTCATGTCACTTGTTAATTGAAGCATGATTGGAATAGGGGGAAAAAAGAAGTGTTAATTAAAACAAAAATTTAACTTCGTAGTCCTAAAGATTTGAGATCAACGAGAGATCGTGTAGGAGGTCTTTCTTTAATTAACTTAAGCCATTAAAATTACTGATATTCCAGGAAGATTGTATCCATCTCCTTGTTCTATGGTCAGGAATGGCTCATATTTTTTGCATTTTGTGCCTACTTACCTTATTCACTTTCCCAGAAGGAGAATATTTTTTCAGCATCATAATGGTAATCTTTTGTTTTTTTAACCCATAGCTGGGCATGGGGGCATGTTCGTTAGTTCTAGCTACTTGGGAGGCTGAGGCAGGAGGAGCACTTGAGCCCAGGAGTTTGTAGCTAGTCTAGGAAACAGCAAGACCCTGTCTCATAAATAAATAAATAAATAAATAAATAAATAAATAAATAAATAAATAGCACCAATTCTAAATCTGAGCCAATTGTCTTTCTATCACTGAACTTTATGTAATTCCTGAATTATGCAAATTTCAGGACTTGCTACAGTTCTCCACAAAGGAACAGTTTGATGAGGCCGAACCAGCTACTCTGAATGGACTAGATCAGCCAGAACAAACCTCCATCCCAATCCCTCAGCTGCCCCAGGAAACTCCATCTTCTCTGGAGCCGGAACCAGAAACTCATACCTTGCATCTGCAGCCACAGCATGAAGAGAGCGTAGTGCCTGCCCAGAGCACTTTGACAGCCGATGACATGCGCAGGGCCAAACGCATCAGAGTAAGTAGGAAAGTGCACGTCACCTCTCTGAAAGGTCACCTTCTTCCCTTTAGACAGCTTTTTCAGGGTGTTATGTTCCAGTCTATTCACCATCTACTATGAAATCTTGCTCCTAGCTTTTCACAAGCCTGATCCCCTTACTTCACAAAAGTGTTAACTTTTTCTCAGTGTTTCTGTCCTATGGCAAGCAGGCATGGCTGTCCTAGATTCAGTCAATGTAGTAATGACACACAGAGGCCTGGATTTTGGCAGCTCATGAAATAGTTATAATAGAATGCCTCTCCCCATCTCTAAATCACAGATTAGAAATAGGGAAATAAATATATTTAATTGCAATAATTGTTTTACTTTATTTTGTTTTATTTTTGTGGTACTATAGATTGAACCAAAGACCTTGTACAGACTAAGCAGACACTCTTTCACCAAGTTACACCTTTGAGTCCAAATTATTTATGTTTTAAGCCAGGCTAATCTCTGTCTAATCATAGCTCTCAAGTTATTTGTGGATTTTTTGGGTTATGAAATTTGGTTATCTATAGTTTCCAAGGGAAACTAGCAAGTGTCATTGCAAAGGGAACTATATCCAAATTAATGTGGTAGGTACAGGGCATACACCCAGGACAGCTTAAAGTAAGCTGTATGTTCCAGAGCTGGTCAGCGCATCACTTGTATGAAGTGTGTCTTAGCTTTAGACCATGTGGCTGCAGAGCTTATGTTTCTCTTATTCTTATGTGGGCAGCAGTTGAGTCTAAGTTAGGAAAGTAGAAAGCAATATGGTTCTGTGCAGTGTCTGTGTGGACAACAGACATCGATGGAAACTCACGTTTGTGGCAGCTGGGTATAGAAAGACTTGTTGATACCTGACATGTACATAAAAGAGACTTTTAAAAATATGTATAATTTCCTAGACTTTATACTTTCCAGATTGTGTTAACTCAGGCTTCTTTTGGTCTTTCTTCTTCTTCTTTTTTTTTTTAGTTAAGATGATTAGTCAGACCACATTCAATGTGGGTCATACACTGGGTATAGGACTCTTGGCATGGGATCTTGGTATGGGTTAGAGAGACTGGGTCTATTCCCTCTTTCAGATTGCTTATTTGCCTACAGGCTGGGAGGGACCATGAGAAGGAGGCTAGTGCATATCTTCATGTACATTAAGCATTTGTACTCACATGACAGCCTCAAAGGACTCTGAGAACACTCATTCTAAATAGCCTTTATGAGGGTCCTGTATTTGAAACACATAAAACTTTCATCCCAATCTATATTATTTCAAGAATAGGTAAAAACACATACATACAGGCCAGAAGGAGCGAAAACTGTGAATTAATATCTTCCCATCTGTTATTCTACCTCCCTTCCCAGTTTGCACATCTTCCTCTTACTCAGTGGCTATCTTGTGCTTTGGTATTTCTAATCTTTACTAAGTCTACAGAAATGTTTGCTTGACTTCATTTTTTTTTTGAAGGGGGAAACAAAACCCCAAAGCTCACACCTGTAGTGAATATACAAGCACAATCCATTTATGCGTTTGTATTCTTGAAGGAGACGGGATACTGGTTTTGGTACAAAACCACATGTGTGTGGTTTTTGCATCAAAGCAAAAGCCACATGTGTGTGGCTTTTGGAGGTCAATCTTGGTTATCTTGTTTTTTCCTCTCACACATTCTAAAAAGTAGGGTTATATACTTTTTCATCTTTTTTATCCAGATTGGTAATGACCATCTGAAGGGAAGTCTTCCAATCCAATTGGTAATGTAACTATTTTTCTCTCCTCTAATGCTGCCTGCTCAGTTGGAGCTGCAGGTAGGTTTGTTTCCTGTGTTTCACATAACAGAAATGTTATTTAAGTGTTTGCCTGACCTGCTGTTTTTTACAATCTGTACTTTCTAAATCCAGATGGAAAACACAATTTGGTTGCTACAGTAAGTGAAAATTAATGAAAGACACTTTATTTGCAAATAGACAAATAAGTAAATTGTGGACTGTAGATTCCTCCTGCACAAAATAAAAGATGGGACTAAGCGATTTCCAAGGTCCCTTCTAGTTCTAAAACTATTTCAGTGACTTGTGGCTTGGTGTTGAATTCTAACTATATAGTCAGCACAGTTCAGGTATCCAACAAAACTTTGCCTTGAATTCTGTCTCTAGAAGCTTATAATCTAAATAAGGAGTCAATGCTAATGGATAGTCATTTATAGTTATGCGTTAAATATTAAAGTACAGTCTATCTACAATTGAGCTATGCGTTAAATATAAAAGTACAGTCTACAATTGAGCTAGGAACTTAGAATGAAAGGCCAAAGAACGATCAAGGAGGCAGGGGATAATTCATAGGTAAGAAAAGACTGGCCCTTGGAAGACAATCTCTTGTGGAAGGTAGATGATTTCAAAGGAGGACAGCCATAGGATTAGAGGCTCAGACACAAAGATGTGCTTGGCATGGTTATAGGACAGTGTAAATGGAGGACTGGCCTTGATGAGAGTGTCAAGTGGATAGTGGAGAGTGAGGTGTATTTGGCAGGGTAAACTTACCAAAGGTTTTGATAGCTGAATGTGTGATAGCCTGAAGAAATTTTTGTTGTTTTGGTTTTTTAATATAACAAAACATCAACAAACAAATTTAATAATTTCTTTTTAATGATTTTTAGTCTGTTTTAGAAAATAGACCAATAATGTGGGTTCTCTTGGCTATTAATATCAAACTTTATAGAGACATTTTAGAAATGAAGAATCTTCTCAGAACTCATTGCAATGTAACAGAATTTAGCAAGGATACTGTTTTGGTATCCTTCAAGCAGCTTATGTTCCTTACAGTTTTGTATCACTGACTGATGGGAGCTCAGGGATCAGAAGACCCATAGTGCATATGTGTGCAGCCTCTCTATTGTCATGATTTCTTCTAGAAAGTGCCCCACATGTAGCTGTGCACAAAGAAGCTATCTTAGAGCAGATCTGGCTTACGAGTGGGTCAAGGGGAGGGAAGGGGGCAGTTCCAATACTTTTATACTAGTTTGTAATATGAGTACATTAGCTTAGATAGAAGCACTCAGACAACATTCAGGGCTCCATGGAAGTGACAGAGATGATAACGGCTGCAGTACGACTAAAGAAGAGGAGCCAGGTGGCCGCTCAGTTTAAATCAATTATCTGAAGGCGCTCATTCTAATCAGAAATGACAGGGGACTGGTTAGCATAGTGAACCAAAACAAAGCTGAGTTCTGGATTTGGTGCTCAGGAGAAATGGAATCCTCTGTGGGATCATCATCAATTATTGTGCATCAAATCTGTCCTTGGAAACTTAACAGAGGTTGGATAAAAGAAGTGATTCTTACTGGCAGACATGCTCTAAATCCTGAATCTTCGCTGAACCTTAGAATAGCATCTGTTTATCTGGCATCTTTCCATAAAGTTCTGAAGGCAGAAAAAATAGGAAGAGTCTGTATACAAGTGTATACCCAGATGAAGCAAAAAGATGAGGTGGCTGCTAAGCAGCATGAGGAGCAGGGAGCAAGCTCTGCAGCTGATTTTAAAAGACCTGTTCTTAAAGACCTTTGTAGGTACTGTAGAAAAAACTGAAATAATTTGAGTTTCATTTGAAATATATTTTATTAATTTTCAAACTAATATATGATAAGTCCTGCAACTAAGTAGTTTTTTAAGGGATCTAGATACAAAGAAGAATAAAATATGGTGTCCCATCCCCATCTTTCAAATAGCCCCAGTCAACTTAGAAGACAATGAATTGGTATTTACCTACTTGAAATAAATGAGTAGTTAGCATCTTAAAATACCTTTCCTAGTCTTGTTAGAGAAACCTTGAGAGACAGTTTCCTCTTACATGAAATGGGCTGTGTTCAGAAATTTTCAGAGTCAAAAATAAATAATTTGCTTTCCCCATGATTATTTCACATTAAATTTAATTTCTAAGAGGCTTCTGCAAGCAAGCAGAAGAATGTTGATCAGTGTATTTTCTTCTTTGTATAAGTAATGTATTATAATTCCCATTACCCTTTCAGTTTCTCTTCTTGTATCACTGCCCAGGCACACCCATGCACAGGTACATTTCTTAGGGATTTTCCCATCTATTCCCCCCCCCCCCCCAGGG